ATATATATATATATATATATTTAGCTTTTCTTCAAACAGCTATTTCTGCGCAAACAGCCTTCAGCTGCTGTGCTTAGTACTGAGCCAGTTCTCTCGTGTGAAAAATACTGTTCAGGTGGTACCTAGCTCTGGTATGAGAGAGAGGCTAAGCAGGCAGATGGGGAGGCAGATGTACAATGCTACATAAAAGTAGAAAGACTTATATTATCTTATGTGAAAGCCTTAAGTGACTGAGCTCAGGCAGCCAGAGAATGGGCACAAGTATGGGAGACAAAGAGTTAAGTAAAAAATGACTGTCATTTCTTTCCTGCTGGAAGCTATTGCTTCCTTAGATTTTTAACACAAGCCACAAGACTCAAGCAAGAGAATCACTCTGAGATTCTTAAAAGAAGACAAAGAAATAGTGTGTGTTGAGACTCTTAGGCTTCATTCCGTCACTCATGGATGCTCTGCCAGGATTTCCCACCTGAGACAGATTGCGACGCATGTTCAAATCACTCATGCACAAGAAGCAATACACAAGTTCAGTGTAAAGCCACTTTAAAAGCTCATTGGGTGAATACTTTACTTGTACAAAATACCTTATTCATGATGGAGCAGTGAGGGCCTAGGTAATTACTTGAATCAAGGTGGCCTCAGAAGTGTTTAAATCTACAAGGACACTTAGAACATGAATAATGCAAAATAATTTGCATCTAAATTTTTTAAGTGTTCTTTATTCAAAAACTAAAATGCAGTTCCGATTAAAGTTTGATGAGTGAAAGCTGAGCACTTCATACCCACTGTGAAATGTCTCCTATTTGTGGAAATTATTTCAGACAGTGGTAAAGGGACAAAAGAGATCAAAAAAAGTTGGTGATTTAAGCTGCACTACTTTTGAACCATCCTTATTTCATGATGTTTGGTGACTAGCAAGTTAATTTCAGAACTTGCTGATCTGATACACATCCAAGTTTCATCCCTTTAAAGCAACTACAATGGAAGTACAGATCTAGTCATTAGCTAAACAAAATAACTATTCTTTTGCATTTGACGATAGCGCAAAGCAACTGTAGTCTCTGCAATTCGCACAATATCTTTTACTGCAATCACTTTTCTCCCCCTTTGGAAAAAGCATTACATGCAAAAATACCCTGGCTGCCTATAACTGCATAAGTTTGTAGGACAGTAGTTTGCATGTCTTCCTTTGGAGTCTATTGCATCAATATGTATGTCCCTTTCTTTTGAATTTGCCATTGACAGTATAAACTGCAACGTAAATCACTAGATCAGTGTTTTATTACATTGGCTGCATTTTTATTTTAGAATGTGTTAAGCAACCCCCATAAAAATGGTTAAAGAAGAAGGGGTGAATAAAATAAATGTTGTGTAATGTGTTTTCTGAAAATTATGTCTTTCTTTGCCTGTGTTGAAGCATCTGAGATAGGGAAAGGAAAGAAGGTAGGGGGAGCATGTCAGAAATAGCGGTTTTCACATTCAAATGTCAGTGATTAGGTCATTAAATGTTCGTAATTCTTTTTTTTTCTTTCTAATATCCTAACCTACCCATATTGTCCTCATTAACCATTTCAGAAGGCACAAGGTACAAGCCCTTTTAAATTCTAAAGAAATAGCACCAAAGGTTTCTAAAAGAATAGAAACAAGTTTGCTGATTCTACTCTCACAAGGCAGGAAGTAACTTTTGTTTCTGTCCTTGCAATCAAATGGCTCAGATATTAAACAGCTCACATTTAAAGAACAAGACCTTTGAGAAAAGTGGATCTATATGCTAGTGGAATATTTTTTAAATAGGCAAGTTGTTAAAACTTCAGGTAGGGAAATTCTTTTTTGGAGTCCAATAGGTTAGGCAGGAAAAAGATCTGACAGACAGTTAAGTTTTAAACGGTGGCTAACTGCAAGTATCTAAACTTTAAAGGCCCTTTTGCAAAGGAAAATCATTTTCCTGCTGCAGCCCTTATAAAGAATAAAGACTTCCAATTTATTACATGCTCGAAAGCTGGCTGCCACTTTATTGGACTTTCAGATGAGTGTGCTCGCCACGCTTTCTTAGTGAGAGTATCTGCTACGTTTTCTTGGATTTTGAACAATGAGAACATTTTTTTAACTCATTGAACAAAGATTTCCCCAGCAACAGACCCCCTGCTCAGCAGGTCACCTATCTTTGCGACAGTTTTTCTTTTCCCACGCTAACCCTAGGGCTCATTTGCATAAGGTCTCTGTTGTGACAATTAGTTTCAGGTGAGCTGATTTCTATGAAGCTTGCCCAAGACGATACACAAGCTCTGGGCCTCCCTGATCCTGGCCCTAATTGCGACTGACTGGCACCAGACACAATCACCCTCTTGATTCAGCAAATTGTCCTGCAAGTAGCTTGTTGTGACCCTGCAATGCACAAATCATATCATGTCAGCCCAGCATAGTAAACACTGAATAAAGCAAATTCAAAAAAGGTTTCATAATAATACCTCCATCTTTTAACTATAGTGGACAGGATGAATACAAATCTAAACTATATCATATCTGTGTGCAGATAGAAGAGGTATTATTGCCTTGGCTAAAAACTTTCTTTTATTTTTTATTCATATTGGAAAATCAGTTGTTCTTTGATCCTGTCACCTGGGGAGAAATTCCACAGATGGGATAACAGGGCGATTGTAACATTTTTCTTAGCTGGTTGTTTGGAAATAATCAGTATGCACTTTCATCATCTCAGAAGTTATGGGGTGCATCAATATGTACAGAAGCAAGGTTCCCAGTAGTATCTGCAAAGCTTGAAGAGGGGTTGAAGCCAATGAAATCTCACCTCTACACATAGCAACAAAAGTCACAAAATAACTTTTTTCCTAATGCAGGAAGCCAGAGAGGAGTAACAGAGCGATTTGGACCCAACAGAGGGCCCATGGCAAGGGACAAACTTCCATCATCATCACACCATCACTTGTAAGCTTTTTCCACAATTTGTCTTACAGTTGAAGTGACCGTTCCTTCTTGTCCACCCAGTTCTACTTTGCAAGGCATAGGAACCATCAGATCTCTGCACATTCATAGCTGAATCCTGCTCTCTCTATTCCAACAATATAACAACTAAGACCGGCTCAGAATTTGAACTGAAGACTCAATTGCTGGTCCATGTGAACCCGTTACAAAGCACAAGTTGACATATAGACAGGAGAAAAAATATCAAATAATAAATTGAAAGAAATGCAAAACGAATCACTTCCATGATCATGGACTCATTAATTCATGGCAAGTATAACTTTATTTGCAAGAATGCTAGCAAGGAATGACAAGTTTCTCCTAGCTTTGATTAACTTTGCTTTGGTCAGCTTGAATCTCCATTATCTTCTTATTTATATACAGTGCTCAATTCTTTCCTAGTAGGATAGATTTCTATTATGACCTGCACACTAAGTCAGAACAGAATTTGTCCGTATATTTTGTGTTTTATAAATTAGCTGTGACGGATGGATTTGCCAAATATTATTCACCAGTAACTGTTTCTTTGCAGTAATTGGAATATAAAGAGATGTGGGTTAGGATAATGGGCCACTGACTTCAGTGGGGCTATATTGGGTAGAACATGGCCTACTGCATATATTTGTAAAAAGAATATTAACTGAATTATATCAAGCCATTAGCTTTACTCCCATTTTAGTCTATTGCAAAATAAGTACTTATACTTATTTTTCAGATATTGTTCACCCAAATAAACAAAAATATATTAAAAATCCTCATGAAATTTGCTTTAAAAATATTCAGTGAACATATGCAATATCCAGTATCAAAGGTCAACATCCCAGATGGTGACACATTCAATTTCATTTCAGTTCTAGGTATGTAAGAAAGCATGTGAAACCAGGACACTTCTACTAACTTTGTGATCCTATAACCTGGTTGTGGGAAAAATGTTTTTTCCTAAACAATGGGAGAAGAATAAAAATCATGTCTGTATTGCGACTGCCACTGCCACATCGTAGCCTGCAGAAATCATTCTCTTCAAAGCTCATTCTTCTTCCCTTAGAACAACTCCACTGACTTAAATGGTAGTGGTCTTGTTTGACATCAGCGTGAGGTGAGAATCAGGCTGTATTTCCTTTATATAGATTTGGGAATATGCTTTGAAGAAATAAACACTTCAAAATATCAGAAATGAAGATGCAAACTTAGCTATAACATCATGTAATCACACAAAAGAAAACATCCTGAATTCCTGAAGCTGCACACCCCACACATTAGAGGTGTTTTCTCTTTCATTCTTTGCATTGCAAGATGCTAATTTAATGTGGAAATGTGGGCTATAGGTGGAATTTCCATCTAGCTGGTGAGAACTAGCACAACTGATCTGACTCAAATGACTTATTGTAATAATTTCTGATGAAAGTACATGGAAGGAAAATTACTCTCCTTTCTGTCCGTTCACGTCCCTCCATTTTCTTCTCTTCATCTCATACTCCCACTCACTCCTTACACACTTTCTGGGCGTGTCTATACAAGATACTACTGTGCAGTGGTTACTGCACATTTATTTAGTACTCGTATAAGCAAGTACTAAATAAACGTGTAGTAACCAGAGTTACTGTGCAGTAGCGCCGGCAAACATCTTTTAAGTGATGCCAATGCGAAATAGCCTAATAATACTGTGCCGTAGTGTATTAGCACTGTCAGTGCTGTGACATGCTACTGTGCAGTATTATTCAGTTACTGTGAAGTCCGTGTCTCATGTAGATATGCCCACGGTGTCCCAGTTGTAGCTTCCCTCTATACCTCTGCTCCCTCTGTTTCCCTCTGTACCTCTATTCTTCAGATGACCAACTATCGCCTGTGTCCTCTACAGTGCTCTCTTTTGTGCAAGCGACGCAGTTAATGTCTTTTGGCTCATCACAGACCACTTAGTATTTCTGATTGTAGTAAGAGGGTTAATTCTGTTAACACAACTAAGCGCAAATGCAGTGAATTATTTAAATTTCCCTGAAGATTATATTGGATAGACTTTTCCTATTCACTTCCTGTCCAAAACTATTATGGAGCTTTGCCAAACACAGCTACCACATTTAAGGTAAATAGTGACATTTCAAAGGTGAATAAAGTAATCCTTGTCTATTGTATATATTTTTGTTTAGAGAATTCCTTTGAAATGACTGTTCATGAATATTGCTATATGGTACAGATGATGCTTATGTTGCCTACTTAGAAAATGTATGAAACTTTTCTTTGCACAATGCCCATGCTACTTTTGTAACTAAGGTAATAAAGCAAGTTGATGTTGAACTTTAACCTGCCTCCAATATGATGTGAAACTTTTGGATTTCTAAGTAAATAAACAGTTGATTCTGACAAAAATGACTTTTCCCTGAAGGGACATTTTTGTGAAACTGCGCCAGGTACAAAAAAAATATGTATTTTCTTGGCTGGGTCATGAAACTGTCAAAACACAACTTAAACGTGGTTTGCTGCATACGTAATATTTTTCCCACCACTTTTTTCAAAGCAGTGCCTGATTCTAAATTCCTTACGCACCCAATACTCAAACAGAAATCAGTGGGGGCATAAGTAATGCAGAATATGTTCATAGGTAAGTAAAGCAAAATAGCCAGGAAAAAGAAAGAGGACAAAGCTAAAACAAAGGCAGGGAACCTTTTTGTAAAAAGCTTTCCATAAATTATGCTTTCAGGATAAAAAATCCCTTTCAAAATAGGGCCAAAGTAAGTAGTTGGTGCATATGCCTTCTATTGGCCCCTGTCACGGCGTAAATGTCACCCTCCATGTTTATATACCTTTCTTTAGTTTTATTTGTGTCTGTGCTCTTCCTTTGTCTTCTGCATATATATATATATTTAAATCCCAAACTATCTTGATCAAAGTTTTGATTACAAACTTCATTTTTACCAAAAACAGCTATGGCACTGATCTTTAATATAATAATATATTTTCCTGAATGCCTTGGCTTTTTCATTCCAACAACTGAAACAGAGACAATTCTTTGTATGTTGAAATGTGTAATTATCATGTATCCAAAAGGGAGGGTGTAATTTTCACATCTGATTACAAGGGAAGAGTGTAAGCGAAGCTGCCTCGGTAAACTTACACTTGTTTACAGAGAGCAATACCTTTGATATTAAAAACTCTAAACATGCAAAACACTGGAAAAAATCAAATTGTCATGCACCAAAACTAAACAAAAAAACTAAGCATTTTTCTTGGCATGGCTACAGATGAAAAGTCAATTCTTCTGAACTTGTACTGGCCTACTTACTTCAGATGTTTGTTAAAAAGACTTAAAAATTGTTTTTGCACAGTGTGTTGTACTTGTCATGTTGAAGGTTAAGAAGTTAAAACTCTAATTTTATTATAAGGAAGGGAACTCCAAATGTTTCTCCTGTTTATAACTCTATTTCGTTATATCTCAGTTTAAACTAGAGAAATACTTTTCATATTTGACTTCATCTTTACCCAATTTTTATCTGCTCAATGTGATTGCAATTGCTTCAAAGCTGCTCATTTTCATGGCTCACCTCACCTTCTTTCTTTCTTTCTTTTTTCTTTCTTTCTTTCTTTCTTTCTACTTTTTTAATATACTACTGATTTACCTTTGATAAAATGAGCTTCTGCTTATGTGAAATAATTTTTTTTGGCCACGTAGGAAGAGATGATATCAAGGAAAGACAGCACAGTTACAGTGGATATCACTTACCAAGGAGATTAAAGATAGGCAGGAAGATCACACAACAGGTAGGGAAAAAACTGCAGCAGAGCCGAAAAAGATATCAGAAACCATTTTAAATGATATAAAAGTATGATTGCTGAGGAATCATTGTGGTATTTTTAGAAAGCATCAAAACTGTCTGTGCAGGCATTGAATGTTAGAGTATGATAATCTCATTGCCTTTGCTAAGCAAGAAAAAGGAAGGGAAAAAAGCTGCAAATTATTTTTAGTATATGGAAAATGCAGCTTATACTTGGAATATGCAAAATAAGATAATTAAAATCTGCAACTGTGATTGACACAGATATAACACAAATCTATTTTCTGTTACACAGATTTTAAAACACACTATACTACGGTGGCAGCATGAAATATTATATACTATACTCAAAAAATTATGTCCATTGCAAGAAAAAAAAGAAATCAAGAAACAAAAACCCCAACATCAAGCAGCGATTTTGAAACGTAAAAATGAGATGGAATGGTGTCAGAGACTCCATTTGAGAATATACTTAGTTTAAAAAGGGCATTTTCTCCTTGTGTGGAAGTACTCAGATGCTCACGGTACCAAAAACAGTTTAATCTTAGGTGGGGCTTACCATTACTCTTTATTGGGTAGCACTGAGAATAATAAAATGGTGTTATAGCAAAGCAAAAATAAATATCTATTTGTATATTCAAACACCTTCTAAGTGTAAAAGGCATATATCGACTTGCTTCTACAGCCCCAAACTCACACTGGAGTCAGACATAATATACAAGTACTTCTTCTGTATGTGCATAATCAGAGGACCTCCACCCAGTTCCTTACCCATGCTGCATAGTAGCGTTCTCTGGGAGTAATCTCACCATAGAGTAAGCCTTAAGGTGTTACTTTGTCTTGGTAAGGTTGACAAAGTCTGCACTAGTAAGACTACTTACATGAGTAGAGTTTACACATCAAAAAAAATATAACATTATACACAGAATCAAATTCTCCCCTCAGATCAGTAGAGAGCTGTAGAGTCAGTGGGGTACAGGGAACAGGGGCAAGTGGGAAGAATACGCTCCATTAGTATCCAGACTGCATGGGTGTGTCTGAAGGTAGATGTGGTTTCTAGGCAGTATTAGTGTACTTAAAACAACAAATTAATGTCTGTGGAACACCAATCAATGTTTAGTACACTCCACATTTTTCACTGAGTTGTTAGAGTACATTTGCTTATATTTTGCACTATTTTAATTTAACCATATTGATCAAACTGAACACTCAATAAGACCCTAGGCACCTTAGGCTTATTAAAATTAGTCAACTTGAAGCAAGTGAGCTGAGGAAGTAATGGAAACTGTTCAGAGATTTAAATACGGTGGAACCCACTTAAATAAATACCTGTTAATGAAATAAATCTGTTAAATGAATACATTTTCTAAGACCCAAACCAAAACACCTAAACCTAAGCAGGCCCCTTAAATAAATTCCTCTTAAATGTATTACGTTTTTTAAAAGACACACAGTTCTGGCTTGCAACACAGTTTCACGTTCACAAGGATAATTAAGCTAGGGGCATCTTCTGTGTCAACTTTGTTTGCTAAGGTTGTTGCCATTCTTTGCCATTTAACAGTGGCAAGAAATATCAGATTTGCCTAAATTACCTGTAAGTAAATATTGCTGTCATTCTTTTGGTAACTCTCCCACCTGAGTTTATCCCAGTAAAAGTACAAATCAATTGGGTTGTGTCCCTGGCAACTATATAAAGGTAACTAGAGAAGAAAAATAAAAACTGTTTAACTGACTTGGATGTTCATATGTAATGGAAAAAAAGCCAGACTAGTTACTCTTACAAATAATATGTTTTCCTTTTTAGAAAGTTGCATCGTTTCTTCAGTGAGGTTGAGAGGCGTAATTAGAACACTAACTCCCAAGACTGACTTTAACTGTGATTTGCAATGCTGCTCCTTTTGGCACATTTATGGAGCTCAAAATATTGTTTTTGAAAACATCCCTGTTTTTTAACAAAAATATGATGTTAGACAACATCTTTAACTGATTAATCCTCTCTTCCCTCACAGGGGCTGACCTGTGATAGTGTGTTATTTTAGTCAAAGAAAAAAAATGCAGCACACAGCAA